TCTTTCTCCACCTGGCTTATTTCACTGAGCGTAATACCCTCTAGTTCCATGCATGTTGTTGCAAAAGGTAGGATTTGTTTTCTTCTTATGGCTGAATAATATTCCATTGTGTATATATATGTACCACATCTTCTTTATCCATTCATCCACTGATGGACACTTAGGTTGCTTCCATTTCTTGGCTATTGTAAATAGTGCTGCGATAAACATAGTGGTGCACCTGTCTTTTTCAAACTGGGCTGCTGTATTCTTAGGGTAAATTCCTAGAAGTGGAATTCCTGGGTCAAATGGTATTTCTGTTTTGAGCTTTTTGAGGGCCCTCCATACTGCTTTCCACAATGGTTGAACTAATTTACATTCCCACCAGCAGTGTAGGAGGGTTCCCCTTTCTCCACAACCTCGCCAACATTTGTTGTTGTTTGTCTTTTGGATGGTGGAGATCCTTACAGGTGTGAGGTGATATCTCATTGTAGTTTTAATTTGCATTTCTCTGATGACTAGCGATGTGGAGCATCTTTTCATGTGTCTGTTGGCCATCTGTATTTCTTTTTTTGAGAACTGTCTGTTCAGCTCCTCTGCCCATCTTTTAATTGAATAATTTGCTTTTTGTTTGTTGAGGTGTGTGAGCTTTTCATATATTTTGATTGTCAACCCTTTATCAGATCTGTCATTTATGAATATATTCTCCCATACTGTAGGGTAACTTTTTTTCTATTGATGGTGTCTTTTGCTGTACAGAAGGTTTTCAGCTTGATATAGTCCCACTTGTTCATTTTTGCTTTAGTTTCCCTTGCCTGAGGAGACAGGTTCATGAAGAAATCATTCATGTTTATGTCCAAGAGATTCTTGCCTATGTTTTTTTCTAAGAGTTTTATGTTTTCATGATTTACATTCAGGTCTTTGATCCATTTTGAATTTACTTTTGTGTATGAGGTTAGACAGTGATCCAGTTTCATTCTCTTACATGTAGCTGTCCAGCTTTGCCAACACCAACCATTGAAGACACTGTCATTTCCCCATTGTATGTCCATGGCTCCTTTATCGTATATTAATTGACCATATATGCTTGGGATAATGTCTGCAGTCTCTATTCTGTTCCACTGGTCTGTGCCTCTGTTCTTGTGTCAGTACCAAATTGTCTTGATTACTGTGGCTTTGTAGTAGGGCTTGAAGTTGGGGACTGAGATCCCCGCCACTTTATTCTTCCTTCTCAGCATTGCTTTGGCTATTTGGGGACTTTGATGGTTCCATATGAATTTTTGAACTATTTGTTCCAATTCGTTGAAGAATGCTGTTGGTAATTTGATGGGGCTTGCATTGAATCTGTAGATTGCTTTGGGCAGCATGGCCATTTTGATATTAATTCTTCCTAGCCAGGAGCATGGGATGAGTTTCCATTTGTTAGTGTCCTCTCTAATTTCTCTTAAGAGTGTCTTGTAGTTTTCAGGGTATAGGTTTTTCACTTCCTTGTTTAGGGTTATTCCTAAGTATTTTATTATTTTTGATGCAATTGTGAATAGAACTGTTTTCGTGATTTCTCTATTAGTTCATTATTAGTGTATAGGAAAGCCACAGATTTCTGTGTATTAATTTTGTATCCTGCAACTTTGCTTCATTCCGATATTAGTTCTAGTAGTTTTGGAGTGGAGTCTTTAGGGTTTTTTTTATGTACAGTATCATGTCATCTGCAAATAGTGCGAGTTTGACTTCTTCTTTACCAATCTGGACTCCTTGTGTTTCTTTGTTTTGTCTGATTGCCGTGGCTAGGACCTCCAATATTATGTTGAATAACAGTGGGGAGAGTGGGCATCTCTGTCTTGTTCCCGGTCTTAGAGGAAAAGCTTTCAGTGTCTTGCTGTTCGGTATGATGTTGGCTGTGGGCTTGTCATCTATGGCCTTTATTATGTTGAGGTATTTGCCCTATATACCCATTTTCCTGAGAGTTTTTATCATGAATGGATGTTGAATTTTGTCGAATGCTTTTTCAGCATCTATGGAGATGATCATATGGTTTTTGTCTTTCTTTTTGTTTATGTGGTGGATGATGTTGATGGATTTTCGAATGTTGTACCATCCTTGCATCCCTGGGATGAATCCCACTTGGTCATGGTGTATGATCCTTTTGATATATTTTTGAATTCGGTTTGCTAATATTTTATTGAGTATTTTTGCATCTACATTCATCAGGGATATTGGTCTGTAATTTTCTTTTTTCGTGGGGTCTTTGCCTGGTTTTGGTATTAGGGTGATGTTGGCTTCATCGAATGAGTTTGGGAGTATTCCCTCCTCTTCTATTTTTTGGAAAACTTTAAGGAGAATGGTTATTATATCTTCTCTGTATGTCTGATAAAATTCCGAGGTAAATCTGTCTGGCCTAGGGTTTTTTTTTCTTGGGTAGTTTTTTGATTATAGCTTCAATTTTGTTGCTGGTAATTGGTTTGTTTAGATTTTGTGTTTCTTCCTTGGTTAGTCTTGGAAGGTTGTATTTTTCTAGGAAGTTGTCCATTTCTTCTAGGTTTTCCAGCTTGTTGGCATGTAGGTTTTCACAGTATTCTCTAATAATTATTTGTATTTCTGTGGGGTCCATTGTGATTTTTCCTTTCTCGTTTCTGATTCTGTTAATGTGTGTTGATTCTGTTTTTCTCTTAATAAGTCTGGCTAGAGGTGTATCGATTTTGTTTTTTTTCTCAAGAGAACCAGCTCTTGGTCTCTTTGATTTTTTCTATTGTTTTATTCTTCCCAATTTTATTTATTCCTTCACTGATCTTTAATAATGTCCCTCCTTCTGCTGATTTTATGCCTCATTTCTTCTTCTTTTTACAATTTCTATAATTGTGACTTCAGGCTATTCATTTCTGAATGTTCCTCCATCTTTAAATATGCCTGGATTGATATATACTTTCCTCTTAAGACTGCTTTTGCTGCATCCCACAGAAGTTGGGGCTTTGTGTTATTGTTGTCATTTGTCTCCATATATTGCTTGATCTCTGTTTTTATCTGGTCATTGATCCATTGGTTATTTATGAGCATGTTGTGAAGCCTCTATGTGTTTGCAGGATTTTTCATTTTCTTTGTGTAATTTATTTTTAGTTTCATACCTTTGTGGTCTGAGAAACTGGTTGGTACAATTTCAGTCTTTTTGAATGTACAGAAGCTCTTTTTGTGACCTGGCATATGGTCTGTTCTTGAAAATGTTCCTTGTACACTTGAGAAGAATGTGTATTCTGCTGCTTTTGGGTGTGGAGTTCTGTAGATGTCTGTTAGGTCCATCTGTTCTAGTGTGTTGTTCAGTGCCTCTGTGTCCTTACTTATCTTCTGTCTGGTGGATCTGTCCTTCAGAGTGAGTGGAGTGTTGAAGTTTCCTAGAATGAATGCATTGCATTCTATTTCCCCTTTTAATTCTGTTAGTATTCGTTTCACATATATAGGTGCTCCTGTGTTGGGTGCATAGATATTTATAATGGTTATATCTTCCTGTTGGATTGACCCCTTAATCATTTTATGTAATGTCCTTCTTTGTCACTTGTGGCTTTGTTTTGAAGTCTATTTTGTCTGATACAAGTACTGCAACACCTGCTTTTTTCTCCCTATTAGTTGCATGAAGTATCTTTTTCCATCCCTTCACTTTTAGTCTGTGTATGTCTTTGGGTTTAAAGTGAGTCTCTTGTAGGCAGCATATAGATGGGGCTTGTTTTTTTTATCCATTCAGTGACTCTGTGTCTTTTCATTGGTGTGTTCAGTCCATTTACATTTAGGGTGATTATCAATAGGTATGTACTTATTGCCATTGCAGGCTTTAGATTCATGGTTACCAAAGGTTCAAGGGTAACTTCCTTACTATCTAAGAGTCTAACTTAACTCACTTAATATGCTGTTACAAACACAATCTAAAGTTTCTTTTTTTCTCCTCCTCCACTCTTTACGGATTACGTATCTTATTCTGTACTCTTTGTGTATCCCTTGATTGACTTTGTGGATAGTTAATTTAATTTTGTATTTGCTGAGTAATTAGCTGTTCTACTTTCTTTACTGTGGTTTTATTACCTCTGGTGACAGCTAGTAAACCTTAGGAACACTTCCATCTATAGCAGTCCCTCTAAATTAGACTGTAGAGATGGGTTGTGGGAGGTAAATTCTCTCAGATTTTGCTTATCTGAAAATTGTTTAATCCCTCCTTCATGGCCCTAAATAGGGGGAGTGGATTCTGCTGGGGGTGAGCTCACTCCAGTGCAGTTACCCTGGGGTGGGATATTGCTTCTATACCAGGTCCTCCCCACGTTAGCCACACCATGTCTCCCTTGGGCTTTAGACTTGAGGTTAGTAGCATGCTGTGCATTCTGTCAACACCGTCTAGCTGTTGGCTTCAGTCTTTGCCTGTGCTTATCCCTCATTCAAGCACAGGGAGACAGGCTGGGAGAGCAATTCAGCTGTCATGAGGTGTCCTGCCAATGCAATGGACAACTGGAGCTCTGGGCCCAAACATTAGAGGCAGGAGTTCCACTGCAGTGTCCCAAGGCTGTCTCTTATTAACTCAGCATTGTAAGAAGATACTCACTGGACTCCCAGAGTGCTGAAGCCTTTGCCCAGGCCCCAGCATGGAGATGTGCCAGCTAGTATCCTGGCTTCCTCTGCCCTTGTCAGGACCCTGGTGGTGGCTGTGTTGGTGCCCTCTGACTGCCTCCCACTGCTATGGTCCGCCCTGCCCTGCCCAGCACAGGAGCACCCAGGCACCCTCTTACTCTCTTCTCTTCCCACAGAACAGCCCTCTGAGGGGTTCCTTTCTCCATGGAGAGCAGGAAAGTTGCTCTGAGACCTTGGAAAGCCAGGAGAGAGGTGAGACGTACCAGATGTCCCATCTTTACCATAAGAGAATAGACTCATTCCCTTGACTTGCCCTGGTGGCTGCCTTGTTGGTACAGGGCCAAGCCAGCAGCAGTCCTGGGGAAGTGACTTGCCAGGCCTGGCCCCCTCCAGTGTGAGCAACATTCACAGAGAATTGAAATAGATGATGGCTGTCCTTGTTCCAGTGCCCAGGGAAGATCAGTTGGTTGGTGTCTGTAAAGGAGGGGCTGTAGAGACCAGTGGCCAAGACTTCCAGCATTTTGGGATGCCTGAAGAGCCCCTGTGGGATGAGGCAGATCCATGAGCTGGGGAGGAGGGCAGAAGTACTGTCCATCTCAGGTATGACCCACCTGCAGTGTGGAAGGTTTGGCAGTCAGTGGTCACATGCAGAGTTGAAGGGTGAATCTAACCCCTGTACATGTACATAGCCAGGCTCTGGTCACAGTCCCTTGTGAGCAGGCCTGGGTTTGTGTTGCAGGCTTTCGTGACATTTGGGGATGTGGCTGTGGATTTCACGCAGAAGGAATGGGAGCTGCTGAGCCCTGCACAGAGGGCCCTGTACCGACACGTGATGCTGGAGAACTTTAGCCACCTGGTCTCACTGGGTGAGCGGGGGCTCCCCTCAGGGCTGTTTTGCCTCTCATGCACCTATCTTTGCCTTGAGTTTCAGCTGAGAAGAGGTGCTCAGCTTCCTTTTCCCCTGGGGACTGGTGGGGGCTCTGTTCTGCTGGCACTGTGCCCAGTTCTTGCTCCCTGGGGCTGGATGCTGCTCCCCAGCTGCTACTCCAAGCACACTGCTGCCGGTCTGAGCCAGGTTCCCAGCCCAGCCAGCACTCTCTCAGCTTGGAATGAATGCTTCTGAGCTCTTTACCACCACCCTGGTCTTCCCCCTCCAGTCTGGCTCCAGCAAGTAGCCCCTCAATACTATAACCAAGAGTGACCTGCTCATTTTTCCCCGCTAAGCAGGAATTACCTGTTCTAAACCAGACCTCATCACTTGGTTGGAACGAGTGGGAGAGCCATGGAGGGAAGAGAGGAGACACCGGCCAGTCACCTGTCCAGGTAAGGGGAAGCTCCTTGTGGACACTGGCCATTGGCTTTGCATGGCGGGGTGGCTTGTCAGAGGTGCTGGGAGAAAGCCATCCTCCCAAATGTGGCTGCTGTGGCCCCTTCTCATGGATGGCAGACACAGAGATGTATCCTCTGAGTGGTCAGAAGCCACTGAGCATTTGGAATCACTGCAGGTGACATTGGAGCACTCAGCCACACATTTGATGGGGCCCCGGTTATTCCCTGGAACAGTCATCACACTAACAGCCAGAAGCACCAGGAGTGGCTTTGGTCAGTGTGATGCTTCTCAAGGCAGGTTTTCCTTTCTGAACATTGTTTTTTTTACATAGTGAAAAATAGCTGTTATAAATATTTCCTTTTTAGAGATGGTTTTGGTATTTTGCATGTATATATACATATATATGTGTATTTTATTTCTATACACAATTTACATTATCATTTAATGGTGAGCAGCTTATAGAATAAAAACTAAGTCTTCTCTGAGAGGAATAAAGATGGCAGAATAGGAAGGCTAGGCAGTAACCTCCTACCAAAAACATGAAAATACAGCAAGTGCAGCTAGACTTGAAAACGACCCAAAGACTGTAGAACAGACCACCTACACCTGAGGAAGAAGAGAGGATCACACAGAAAAGGGTCAGAAAACCATGGCAAAGACATCTAATACAAAGGAAGAAACAGAAACACTGAAAAAATGAGTAGGCAGATTAATATTCAAACAAAACAAAAGACACAACTCCAAAAATACAGCCAAATGAAACAGATCACTAATCGTCTTGATGGAGATTTCAAAATAAAAGTCATAAACATTCCCATGGATTTACAGAAAAGTATTCAAGATCTCAAGGATCATTTTAACAGAGAGTATCTGAAAATTATCCACTCAGTTGAAGAATATAGTATCTGAAGTGAAACATGAAATGGAGGGATTTTAAAGTACATTAGAATATGTACAGGAGATGGTAAATGAAATGGAAATTAGAGAACAGGAAAACACACTGAGGAACAGAGAAAAAGGATCTCTAGGAATGAAAGAATGAGAAGAGAGCTATGTGACCAACCAAATGAAAGTATCTGCATAATAGGGGCACCAGATGGAGAAAAGAAAGACAAAGGGATGGGAAATTTCTTTTAGGAAATGTTGAAAACTTCCCCAATCTGGGGAAGGAAATTGACACTGAGGTCATGGAAGTGCAGGGATTCACAATGGTATAAAACTGGAAATAAACAAAACAAAAAGACCTGCAAATACATGGAGGCTAAACCGCCTGCTTCTAAATAATCTATGGGTCAGGGAATAAATGGAAACAAATGAAGAAATACACAGAGACACATGAAAAATCCCCAAAGCCCAAAATCTGTGGGAAGTGGCAAAGGCATTTCTAAAAATGTACATAGCAGTAGATGTTTACTGAAGAGCCCCTGTGGGTGCAATCCCAAATAGTCTAAACTCATAATTAAAGAAATTAGAAAAGGAAGAACAAATGTAACCAAGAATTAGTAGAAGGAGGGACATAGTAAAGATCAGAGTATAAATAAATAAAATACTGAAGAAAAAAATAGAATCGATGAAATCAGGAGCTGGTTCTTTGAGAAAATAAACAAAAACAGATAAACCCCTAGAGACTTATCAAGAAAAAAGAATGTACAGAAACAGAATCAGAAACAAAGAATAATCAAAACACACCACATAAATACAAAGAATTATTAGAGAATAATATAATAAGTTATGTCAATAAATTGGAAAACCTGGAGGAAATGGACAATTTCCTAGAATAATACTTTTCAAGATTGACACAGGAAGAAAATCTGAACAGACCAATTCTGAGCAATGAAATCAAATTTGTGATTTAAAAAAATCCCAAAAAACAAAATACCAAGTCCAGATGGCTTCACAGCTGAATTCTACCAAACATAAGAGATGAGTTAATACCCATCCTTAAAGTATTCCAAAAAGTAGAGGGAGAATACTTCCAACCTCAGTTCTGTGAGGCCAGCATCACTCTAATACTAAAAACAGACATACACAACGCACATACACAAAATTACAGACTAATATCTCTGATGAACATAGATGCAAAAATCCTCAAGAAAGTTGTGTGCCGATCTGGAAAAAGATGGTGGCATGAGAAATGAGGCAGGTGTCTCCTCTAAAACCCACATACAACAAAAATACACCAAATACAATGAATCCTGAAAGAGTAACCTGAAGACTGCTACAGCCTGCCCATATCTGGGGAAGAGAGAGGACCACAGAAAAGGACAAAGTACAAAGCTGCAATCCGCAAGACCCAAGTCCTGCCCCCACCCCAGCTCACAGGCAGGAGGAAGAGAAACTGGGGAGGGAGTAGAAGCCCAGGACTGCTGAACACCCACCAGTGGAGGTCTGCTCCAGGAGCACAAACGTACATTACATGATGCTCTGGAGATTAGTGGGGTTGGAAGGCAAAGACAGAATACTTGGAAAGATGGAGATTCCAGCCACTTGTGGAGAACAGGTACCCACAAATGGCCACTCCACAACAAAAGAAAGGCGGGCACTTTGAAAGACTTCCCAACTGTGAGAGAGTTGATAAAGGGGCAAGGATTACACAGCTTGCTGCTTAGGAGAAAGGACAGGTGAGCAAAATTGTCCTGGCATATTCAGCCCTGCAGGTTGGGAACATTCAGGAGCTTCAGGTGCTCCATTCCCCTGGCTGGCAATTGAACCCCAACACCCACACTGCAATACACAGCCTGCACTACTTCCTCCTGGCAGGCACCAGCCTGCACACCTGCTTCCCCCACCATCACTCCAGACCATCTGGAGGGTGGCCACAACTATTACAGGTAAAAGGATGTAACACAGAGGCTCCTCCCTCCACGCTCAGCCCACCAGACATGGCAATGGAGGCCAGAACTGCAGCCAGGAAGCAGGAAAGAGCTCTTTCCTCTCAGCAGGCATTGGCACTGCAACCTGCAACCCCCACTATCACTCCTGGTGCTTAGTAGCTCAAGAGAAAGAGGGCTAAGTGAAACTGAAGTCACCAATCTTCTTGATAAAGATTTCAAAGTTAAAGACATAAAAATGCTCACATAGCTGCAGAAAATTTTTGAAAATCTCAGGGAGGACATCAAAAAAGGTAGAAAATTTGAAAAATATGGTGTCTGAAATGAAACAGAATGGAGATATTTAAAAGCAGACTAGATGAGTTAGAGGAGATGGCAAATGAAATAAAATTAGAGAACAGGAATACAAAGAAGAGACACAGAAAGGATCTCTAGGAATGAAAATAATAGAACTCTGTGAACAATCTCAATGGAACAATATTCACATTATGATGTACTAGAAAAAGAAGAGAGAAAAAGGGAAAGTCTCTGAGACAGTAATTACTGCAGCCCTCCCCAATCTGGGGAAGGAAATATTCTCTCAGGTCATGGAAATCCACAGATCTCCCAACACAAGGGACCCTAGCAAGAAAACACAAAGATGTACAATAATTAAAATGGCAAAATTAAAGACAAGGACAGAGTGCTAAAAGCAGCCAGAGAGAGTAAAAAGAGAGTCATGTACAAAGGAAAACCCATCATGCTGTCATCAGACTTCTCAGCAGAAACCCTACAAGCCAGAAAGGACTGGCATCACATTTTTAAAGCAATGAAGTAGAAGGGCCTCAAACCAGGAATACCCTACCCAGCAACATTATCACTTAAATTTGAAGCAGGGATTAAACAATTTCCAGATAAGCAAAAGTTGAGGCAATTTATGTCCTACGACCCATCTCTACAGAGTGTTTTAAAGAGACTGCTCCTAAAGCTAAATAGCTGTCACCAGAGAAAATAAAACCATGGTAAAGGAAGTAGACCAATTAATTGCTGATACAAAATTAAATCAACTACCCACAAAATCAGTCAAGGGATGCACAAAGAATACAGAATATGACACTTAATATATAAACAGTGAAGGAGGCAGAAAAAGGAAAGACCTTTAGATTGTATTTGAAATAGCATAATAAGTGAGTTTAGTTAGACTGTTGGATAGTAAAGAAGATGCCCTTGCACCTTTGGTAATCACAAATCTAAAGCCTGCAATGGCAGTAAGTACATACCTACCAATAATCACCCTAAATGCAAACAGACTGCACCAATCAAAACATACAGAGTTACAGAATGGATAAAAAAAAGAGAGACCCATCTATATGCTACCTACAAGAGATACATTTCAAACCCAAAGACTTACACCGACTAAAAGTAAAGGGATGGAAAAGGTATTTTGTGCAAATAATTGAGAGAAAAAAGCAGGTGTTGCAGTACTTGTATCAAACAAAATAGACTTCTAAACAAAGAAAATGAGACAAGGACATTATGTAATGATAAAGGGGCCAGTGCAACAAGAGGATATAACTATTATAAATACCTATGCACCCAACATAGGAGCACCTAATTATGTGCAACAAATATTAATAGAATTAAAGGGGGAAATAGAATGCAATGCATTCATTTTAGGAGACTTCAACACACCACTCACACCAAAGGACAGATCCACCAGACAGAAAATAAGAAAGCAGACGCACTGAACAACACATCAGAACACATGGACCTAACAGACATCTACAGAACACCCAAAAGCAGCAGGATACACATTCTTCTCAAGTGCATATGGACCATTTTCAAGAGTAGATCACATACTAGGTTAAAAAAGAACCTCAATAAATTCCAAAAGATTGAAATTGTACCAACTAGTTTCTCAGACCACAAAGATATGAAATTATAAATAAATATACAAAGAAAAGCCCACAAACACATGTACGCTTACTAGCGTGTTCCTAAACAATCAATGTATCAATGACCAAATAAAAATAAATATATGGAGACAAATGAAAGCAACAACTCAACACCACAAAAATGTGGGACGCAGTGAAGGCCATGCTAAGAGGGAAGTGTATTGCAATACAGGCTTACCTCAAGAAGAAGAATCCCAAATGAGCAGTCTAAACTCACAATTAATGAAATTAGATAAAGAAGAACAAATGAGGCCCAAAGTCAGTAGAAGGAGGGACATAGTAAAGATCAGAGACAAAAAAGTAAATAAAATAAAATTGAGAAGAATAAAACAGTAGAAAGAACCAATGAAACTGGGAGCTGGCTCTTTGACAAATAAAACAGATAAACTGCTAGCCAGACTTATCAAGACAAAAGAGAGCATACACACATGGAATCAGAAATGAGAAAGGAAAAATCACTATGGACACCAACAAAATACTCGAATTATTAGAGAATACTATGAAAAATTATATGCTAACAGATTGGATAACCTAGAAGAAATGGACAACGTTCTAGAAAACTACAACCTTCCAAGACTGACCAAGGAAGAAACAAAATCTGAACAGACCAATTACCAGCAATGAAATTGAAATAAAAAAACTACCTAAGAACAAAACTCCTTCACCAGATGGCTTCAGTGCTGAATTTTTTCAAACACTTAGAGAAGACATAAAAACCATCCTCCTTAATGTTTTCCAAAAAGTAGAAGAGGAGGAAATACTTCCAAATTCACTCTAAAAAGCCAGCATCATTCTTAATACCAAAACCAGGCAAATACACCACAGAAAAAGAAAATTACAGACCAGTATCCCTGATGAACATAGATGTAAAAATACTCAACCAAATATTATTAAACTGAATTAAAAAAAACATCAAACAGATCATCTATTATGATCAAGTGGGATTTATTCCAGGGATGCAAGCATGGTATATTTGAAAATCCATGAACATCATACACCACATCAAAATAAAGAAGGCCAAAAATCATATGATCATCTTAATAGATGCTGAAGAAGCATTTGACAAAATTCAACATCCATTCATGACAAAAACTCTCAACAAAATGGGTATAGTGGGCAAGAACCTCAACATAATAAAGGTCATATATGACAAGCCCATAGCCAATGTCATACTTAACAGTGAAAAGCTGAAAGCTTTTTCTCTAAGATCGGGAATAAGACAAGGATGCCCACTCTCCCCACTTTTATTCAATGTAGTACTGGAGGTGCTAGCCATGGCAATCAGACAATGCAAAGAAATAAAATGCATCCAGAGTGATACAGAAGAATTTAAACTGTCACTGTTTTGCAGATGACATGATATTCTACATTAAAAACCCTAAAGAATCCACCCAAAATCTACTAGAACTAATAACTGAATTCAGCAGTGTTGCAGCATACAAAAATTAATGCACAGAAATCTGTTGCATTCCTACATACTAGCAACAAATTAATAGAAAGAGAAATTGAAAGAACTCCACTTACAATTGCATCAAAAAGAATAAAACACCTAGGAATAAACCTAACCAAGGAGGTGAAACACCTATATTCTGAAAGCCACAAGACACTCATGAGAGAAATTAATGAAGACACCAATAAGTGGAGATTGATCCCATGCTCCTGGATATGAAGAATTAATATTGCCAAAATGGCCATCCTGTCCAAAGCATTTTAGAGATTCAATGCAATCTCTATCAAAATACCAACAGCATTCTTCAACATATTAGAACAAATAGTTCTAAAATTCATATGAAACCACAAAAGACCCTGAGTAGCCAAAGCAATCCTGAGAAGGAAGAACAAAGCTGGGGGGATTATTCTCCCTGACTTCATGCTATACAACAAAGCTGTGGTAATCAAAACAATTTGGTACTGGCACAAGAACAAACCCATAGGTCAATGGAACACAATCAAGAGCCCCTATATAAACCCAGGCATATATGGTCAATTAATATATAGTAATGGTACCATAAATATACCATGGGTAAAATACAGACTCTTCAATAATTTGTGTTGGCAAAACTGAACAACTACATGTAAGGGAATGAAACTGACTTATAGTCTAACTCCATACACAAAAGTAAACTCAAATTGGATCACTGATCTGAATGTAAATTATGAAACCATAAAACTTAAAAGAAAAATAGGCAAAATTCTCTTGAATATATGAGCTACATTTTGCTTGACAGAGCTCCTTGGGCAAGGAAAAGCAAATAAAAAATGAACAAGTGGTGCTACATCAAAGTAAAAAGCTTCTGTACAGCATAAGATACCATCAGCAGAACAAAAAGGCAGCCTACACTATGGGAGAATATATTAATGAATCATCTGATAAGGGGTTAACATTGAAAATATATAAAGAACACCTCACCTGAAAAACAACCTGATGAAAAAAATGAGTGGTGGACCTGAACAGAAACTTCTCCAAAGAAATACAAATGGCCAACCAGCATATGAAAAGATGCACCACATCTGTTATCATCAGGGAAATGCAAATAAAAACCACAGTGACATCAACTCACACCGATTAGAATGGCCACTATCAAAAAAATAAGGAAAAAGTGCTGGTGAGGATGCAGAGAAATAGGAAACCTCCTACACTGTTGATGGATCTGCAAATTGTTGCAAATGTTGTGGAAGGTAGTATGTAGGTTCCTCAAAAAACTAAAAATTGAATTAACATTTCACCCAGTCATTCCACTTCTACAAATTTACCCAAAGAAAACAATCCCTGATTCAAAAAGATAAATGTACCCCTATGCTTATTGCTTCACTGTTTGTAACAGCCAAGATATGGAAGCAACCTAAGTGTCCATCAGTAGATAAGTAGATACAGAAATTGCAGTATATATACCCAATGGAATATTATTCAGCCATAAAAAGAAAAAATCCTACCATTTGCAACAACATGGATGGATCTGGAGGTACTATGCTCAGTGAAATAAGCCAGGTGGAGAAAGACAAATACCATATTGCACTTATTTGCAGATAATAAAAACAGCAAAAGAAGGAACAAAATGGCAGTAGACACAGACACTGAGAAGTCCCTAGTGGCTACCATGAGGGAGGGGCTTTGGCAGATGCAGAAGGGGCACCAGAGAGGGGCATAAAAGGGCACAATAATTTGCAATGATAAGTTGATCACAGGGACTGCTGAACCACTGATACATATTTGAAACCAGCATAAGATTGTATGTTAATGTTACTTTAATAATTAAAACTAAAAAATCATCTCAAGTATTTCTGAGCTTTCTCATCAAGGGCAACTCATTTCAATCCTCTTAACTCTTTACCTTCAAAAGTTCAAAGAATATCCATGTCGTTATTCATAAGACATTCTTATTTATGAATCCTCATTTGGCTTTCTATTCCATGCCAACCTCTTTTCTCATACCTGGGAGACTATAGCATGGAAGGTGGTCATCAAATCCCTGCCGTCCCCATGCGTACATGCAGTGGTAGTAGATGGCAAGAACATAGAAAGAACCCCCGGTTGTGATATCAGAAAATAAGTGCTACAAATACACTACTCCTGGAAAAGCATGTGGAGGTGGTGTTGGGACAGTGGGCTGAGGGTGGGTGAAGTGGTCACACAGGATGGACAGCAGAGGTCTCTCTAAGCAAGTGACATTTGAGCGGAACTCAGACTAACAAAACCGATAAGCCAAGCAAATAAGTATGGTTGTATTTGATCGTCATTCTGTCCAGTCAGGAAAGAACTCTGTTCAGGGGACAGAAGAAAGCTCACTCACTGTAGGCTGGTGTGAGTGAGTCATAAAGTGGAAGGAAGTGAGGTCTGAGCAGTGGGAGTGGGGTATAGGGCCCTGTGATCCATGCTAAAATGTAATCATGTGATGGGAAGCCACTGGAGTATATGCTGAAGGTGATATCTGATGCATATTTTTAAATTTAAGTATAATGTGTATGCAGTATCCTATTAGTTTCAGATGTGTTTACAGTTTCTTACTGATTTATTCTTATGCATTGTAAAATGATCCCAAATATAACTCTTTACCATCTGTCATCTTAAAAAGTTATTACAACATTGACTATATTCCCTGATGTGTATACCACATTCCCATGACTTATTTTATAATGATGTTTGTACCTCTTTTTCCCCTTCACCTTGTTTTGAGTGCCCTCACAGCCCCCTACCTTTGATATCCATCAGTTTCAGTATCTGTCAGTCTGTTTCTGTTCTGTTTTTCAGATCCCACATATAGATGATAAAGTATTTGCCTTTCTGTCTTATTTGACTTAGATTAATCCACTCAGGGTCCATCCATGTTGTCACATACAGCAAAATATTATTCCTCTTAAGGCTCAGATGGATTTATAATTCAGATGATGCTATAGCTGAAGTTTAGAAAGCAGACTAGAGGAAATCCTTCTGTAGTGTATACATTATTCTCTTCAAGAGAAGACACTTCCAACTAGATGGAAGAGCAGGGCCTGGGAGGGGAACCCTCATGGGAGGTGGTGGCATTTGTGTTGGGTGGTGGCCCAGGCTGCCTCACCTGTGACCATCCTGATGGGGCACTTTTTCTCTCCAGCAGAAGCAAAGTCAGAAATACCTCTCTCTCCCTGCTGCCCCCTGGCCTACAGTCAGCACATCCTCATCAGGCACACGATTCATGACCATTCTGCTCAGATGTCTGCAGGTGCATATGCAACAAATTATCCACAGCCAAGGAGTCCTGGCCTGGAGCACCAGGAACAAGAGCAGGAAGAACTCTCTCATCAGAGTGACCAGAGTGATTGGGCAGCAGGTCAAGAGAGAGAAGAAAACTCCCAGACCTTGTTGAGGAGGGGGAGTCAGATGTCTGGGATAACTTCCAGCCCACACCCCACCCAGGCAGTAAGTCTGGGGGAAAGGAACTCAGTGGTGGAAATAGATGGCAGTCAAGCTCAGAGGGGAAATCCTAAAGAAACAGGCAAAGTATTAAAAGGAAGAGAAAATTCAAGATGGGAAGCATTCCGATGTGCTGAGTCTGGGCAATGCTTTAGCCAGAAGACAAAGCTGCTTGATCACAGAAAAGCACATCATGGACAGAATCTTTTAACATGCAGGGAGTGTGGACAGGACTTTACTGATAAGTCAGCACTATTCTCACACCAGAAGACTCACCCAGGAGAGATTTCATATATGTGCAGGGAGGGTGGGCTAGACTTCAGCAGTAATTCTAACCTTATAACATGCAGGAAGTCACACTCAGGGGAGAAACCTTTTCTGTGCAAGGAATGTGGGCAATGCTTTGCCCGAAAATCATCCCTGATCTCCCATCAGTGGAAACACTCAGGCCAGAAGCCTTTTCTGTGCAAGGAGTGTGGGCAAGGCTTTATCCAGAAATCATCCCTGATCTCCCACCAGTGGAAACACTCAGGTGTAAAGCCTTTTGTGTGCAGGTTTTGTGGGCAAAGTTTTAGCTTGAAGTCAAGTCTCCTGAGACATCAGAAGACACACTCAGTGGAGAAGCCTTTTGTGTGCAAGGAGTGTGGGCGAGGCTTTATCCGAAAATCATCTCTGATTTCCCACCAGTGGAAACACTCAGGAGAGAAGCCTTTTGTGTGCAAGGAGTGTGGACAAGGCTTTATTGAAAAATCATCCCTGATCTCCCACCAGTGGAAACACTCAGGGGAGAACCCTTTAGTGTGCAGGTATTGTGGGAGAAGTTTTAGCTTAAAGTCAAATCTCCTGAGACATCAAAAGACACATTCAGGGGAGAAGCCTTTTGTTTGCAGGTATTGTGGGCGAAGTTTTAGCTTACAGTCAAATCTCCTGAGACATCAAAAGACACACTCAGGGGAGAAGCCTTTTGTGTGCATGTATTGTGGGAGAAATTTTAGGTGGAAGTCAAATCTCCTAAGACATCAGAAGGCACATTTGGGGGAGAAGCCTTTTGTGTGCAAGGATTGTGGGCAAGGCTTTATTGAAAAGTCATGCCTCATCTCTCATCAGAGGACACATTCGGGGGAGAAGCCTTTTGTGTGCAGGTATTGTGGGCGATCTTTTAACTGGAAGTCAAATCTCCTGAGACATCAGAAGACACACTCAGGGGAGAAGCCTTTTGTGTGCAAGGAATGTGGGCAAGGCTTTATCCAAAAATCATACCTGATCTCCCACCAGAGGACACACTCAGGGGAGAAGCCTTTTGTGTGCATGTATTGTGGGAGAAGTTTTAGCTGGAAGTCAAATCTCTTGACCCATCAGAAGATACATTCAGGGGAGAAGCCTTTTGTGTGCAAGGAGTGTGGGCAAAGCTTTATCCAAAAATCATCCCTGATCTCCCACAAGTGGAAACACTCAGGGGAGAAGCCATTTGTGTGCAAGGAGTGTGGGCAAGGCTTTATCCGAAAATCATCTCTGATCTCCCACCTGTGGACACACTCGGGGAGAAGCCTTTTGTGTACAGGTATTGTGGATGATGTTTTACCTGGAAGTCCAATCTCCTAATACATCAGAAGACACACAACACTCACCTGAGAAGAATTTTCTGTGCATGTAGTATGGGAAAAGCTTTATCCAAAGATCATCACTGATTTCCCACCATGAAAATGGGAGAAACCTTTTGTGTGCAAGGAGTGTTGGCAAGGCTTTTTCCAAAAATTGTCCCTGATCTCCATCCAGTGGAAACACTTAGATGAGAAGCTTTATGTCTAGTGATTCTGCAGTGATTTGCAAGTCAGGCCTAGTGATACACAAGAGCACAGTCTTGGGGAAGGAGTGTGAGTGAGTCTATATCTGTAAGTCTGACATCACCATGTGAGAAAATACACTCAGCAGAAAAACCTACTGAATGCCAGGATGTGGGCACAGGATTATTGATATCACACAGCAGTCTGAAGGCAGACTTAGGAGAGAATCATTTGCATATGGGGAACATGAGTGAGGCCTTACTGGACAGTCATCCCTCCCCTGGCCCCAATGCACACATGGAGAAAAGAGCCCGTGTGTGCTGCAGGGTGAGAAAGATGAGCCATAATCACACCTGTGAGTATCAGAGGTTCCACTCAGCAGGGAAGCACTTCTTGTGTGGACAGTGTGGCCAAAACATTAGTTAGAAGTCAAGAGGCACAGAAAATATATGCTCACCATGTATCAACTCCCCATCTAATTTCCAGAGAAACTTCAGGAGTCCATTGACTACAGGTGTATAAGTAGCAATTACCACAGTTTCTCTCTTAGGGGCTTCCTTAAAGAAAGGATCTATGGACAGTGACCTGATGGCTGAGCGTCTGTACCTCAGGGTCTGCTTGTGGTGGTCTGCCTTTACCATCCAGTAACTGTGCCTTTACAAAGCCACAGCTGAGCCCGTGACCTCGCTCACAGATGCGTCATGCAGGCTGAGGGGATCCACAGGGCTACTGAGACTTGAATTTGGAGACATTTCCCAACCAGGAGGAAAACAAGTCTCTGTGGTCTTGAATATTTATTGTAGATTCTGAGACAAGAGGTCCAGTTTTGAGAAACAGAGATGCCAGCGGAGGGGAGGGAATTACCTGGGCTCCTGAGGAAATATCTCTCTCCTGCAGACTGGGTCTTGTGCCGGGCCACGCTTCCCATGGGCTGTTCTGAGCCAGTGATGACAGTCCGGGGACAGGGGCAGGCCTGTTGCTGACACATCCTTCCTGAGGCTACACAGCAGCCCAGGACTCTTCCGCCAAATGCTCCTGCTGCCTGCCCCCTCCCATCTGGCCTTGGCTTCTCCCTGTGTCCTCACACACAGTCTGTCTCCAAATAAAACCCATGTTAATTCATTTCCATCTCGGTGTCTCTTCATACAGTGGTACCCCGAACATCCTGACAACACAGGTGGTAAAATAGGGATTTGGGGAATGGCTCCCTGCCTGGATGGCAGAAGAGCAGTTTGGCATGTGGGTACAGGTTGGCACTCAGCTGGTGTTTCCCAAGCAGTCCATGGGAAATGCCCTGGTGGAGAGAGGCAAACCTGTGGCAGGTGTGATGACATGGGCACTTGAACATAGGGGAGAAGAGGTGGACTGCTCACTGGTGACCTCCATAAACACTGCAGGATATTGGGATGCAGATGGTTCTTCCATTTGTAATACACAGTGGCTGTGGGAGTTACATTTGTATGTCAAGGTATGCCCAAATAGGTTGTATGATTATTCTGGAGTTTCTGAGAGATGAGCATTTGGTTCAGGAGACTGGAGATCATCCTTACCCATGTGGGTGGCATCATCCAGTGTGTTGGAGGCCAAAGTGCAACACAAATGTGAAGTGTAAATTCTCCCTTCTGGAGTCAGAACATCCATCTGTCCTTGGACATCAGAGCCCTTGGTGCTCAGGTCTCCACCAGAGAGCTTCACTTGGGCCTTCTGTTCTCTGGGACTCACACCAGCAGCTCCCCTAGGCCTCAGGCTTCATATCTGCCTGCAGACAGAAGACTGGGACTTCTTGGGGATACATAGCTCTGAGAACCATTTCTGATAATCTGTGTACATATCTTACTGGTGTGCAGGGGTGACAGGCATTTTAAAGGGAGAAGGAGGGAGTACAGGATCTCACTAGAGTCGTAAAAGTGAAAATATTCAAAGAATTGGTCAGTGGGATACTCAGGTGCTTAGTGTAGTTAGGATTTTATCTTCTCATAGAAACCAGGAAACAACCCTGTCCTTGATTACATTTCAAAAGAATGAGTCTGGGTCCTTCGGAAAGAGCATGCGTATTCATGATTGTAATACCTTATTAGTAAATGCCATATGAAAGGAAGGACTGTGGCTAATGTGTGCTGACCTTCCTGTGCCAAACTGCACACCCAAGGCCCCAGCCATTCCATTACCCAGTTGGGAGAAAAACAGTTTAGACACAAAACAATGCCTGGTGATCAATTTTGGGGGGATCACCACAAATTCATGAACCTTACCTTAAGGAAGTTCACACAGTCTAAATGAAGATCTGAGAAAAACCTCATGCTTCCAGCAGGTAAAAGAAAAAAATGACCCTTTGAAATATCCTCTGGGGAGAAGTAACCATTCAGAAAGATGCACACACTGTTGTGATCCATATAACAAGATTCTTTCATTAAGAACTACCCCAGCAAATCGTCCGACCTAGAGGAAGTGTAACCATATCTACTAAATGGCTATAAACATTCACAGTTTAGCACAGAGACATGGGAATGCTTTTAAGAAATAAGTCATTAGATTGAAAAACACCATTCCCAAAACCTCACCATGTATAGTTGCAGTAAATTACAACTGAGAGACTATTTAAGAAGGAGGTCTTACGGGAATACAAAATGGGAGACAAAAAGGACATGAGGATTTTGAAGCCTCTGACAAATATACTGTTCAACTGAGTCAGATAAGTAAAACCTCACACTAAAAACCTGTTTACTTCCAGTTCTGGTACGTAACACATTATGTTTAGCATCCAACAAAAAATTACAAGGTAGGCCTCTTCAGAAATCATACAAACAGCAAGACAGGAGTGAAATAAAGTATTAAAAGGAAGAAACTAACTGGAGTTCCGTATCCCATGGCACTCGTTCAGAAGTGGAGAAAAAGCCTTCTCAGACAAGAAAAATGGAATAGTTGTCCCAGTAGACCAGACTTTCAAGAAATGTTAAAAGAAACTCTAAAAGGAGAAAAAATGTGTGTGTTTATTCCAGGTTAGTTTCTTTCTTTTAATACTTAAAAGACCTACAGGTCTGGGAAGAAGGGAGTTCCCAGCCTGGGGTGAATCCCCTATAAAACCAGTGAAATCAAAATAGGTCAAAGGAAAGGTTATGTTGAGAGAAACCATTTTTATTGCTCACTACTTGCTTGAATTTGCCAGCTAGGCTCAGCAGCATCCATCCCCTCCAGCTGGGGCGCCTGCATTGCTGCCTTGGTGTGTTCACTTTCCACCAGTTCCTTCTGGGAGGAACCCCATTGTCAGGTCCTTGGTGACTCATAGACGCCAAACCAGTTATGTACCAGGAATGGGGGAAAAGAGAATGGCCATTTTCTCTCTGCCCCTTGCACTAGATGGACAGAATCTCTGCACTGGTAAACACCTATTGATACATAAATTAAGTAAGGCTAGGAAGGAGATTCTCAAAATTCTGCCATTTACCCCACAATATATCAGGAAGTCAGTTCTATAAAAAGGAAGCATGTTGAGGGATAAAGTAAATAAAATCTTTTATTTTTCTTATACTTAATGGATATTTAGATAATGGTTCACAATAATAGCAAGAATATATCCATAGGTTATGAATAAGAAATGAATGACAGCAGTGTTGTAAGGTGCAGGACTGGGCAGTTGGGAATACTCTATAAGAAGGGACCAAACTGCCCATGAAGCAGTATAGTGCTGTTTTAGAGGACTTAGATGAGTTGTGTACGTTATAAACTCCAGTGCAACCACTACACATTTAAAAAAAATAAGTATCGTTGATTTGCTGATTATGTAAAAAGCCCAACTGAAATCACAGAAGGCATAAAATAAGGGAAGACAGAAAAATGCAGTGAATACAAAGCAGTTACAAATATAGTAGATATTAACCCAACTATAATAACAATCCCTTTCAAGGTAAAGAATCGATCAAATGCTATCTACAAATATATATATACATATTTATAAAGACACAGACTAAAAGTAAAGAGATGGCAAAATGTATATCATGGCTACAAAAAACAAGAAGGCTGGAGTAGTATAGAGAAAATGGAACTTCCTATGGCCAGGATTCTGACTTGTCCCTTGTCAGCACGTCCACTGCACATGTGTGGGCAATGTGTTGTCATTGATTCTATCTGAATACCACTGCCAAGTGCTCTGGGCTGCAAGTCTACAGGGCAGCAGAGACTGGAGTGGCACTAGTGCCGAGGACAGAGACAGAGATGGCTGTGGGCAGAGAGGCTTGGAGGCAGAGGCCAGCTTGCTGCATGCAAACCTGCTCTGATGTGGACAGGATTCTAGTGCTGGACCTGCCACTGTGAGAAGAAAGCTATGTATAAATGCTTTAACCCTAAGAACATTTTATTGTTACTTTTTGGGTCTCATTAAGTGTGATCTTGCCTGGGGATAAAATCCATTAATGAGAAGAGTAGCTATATAAATTTTAGATGAGGTCAATTTCACAAGGAAAATTATCAGAGATAAAGAGAGGCACTACATAGTAATAAAGGGATCAACTCTCCAAGGGTTACCACAATCCTTCATTTGTATGCACCTAACAGAGACTCAAAATACATGAAGCAAAAACTGATAGGACTACAAAGAGAAATAGATATTCTTACTGTAAGCATGGGAGACCTCAGCAGCACTCCATCAGTAATTGAAATATCCAGCAGGCAGAAAATGTATAAGGATAAAGTTCAACTGAGTAGAAAATCACTCATAATACAATTGGATCTGACATTTACAGAATATTTGATCCCACAGTGACAGAATACACATTTTCTCATGCACCTATGACACTTTTACTGAGGCAGACCTCATTCTGTGCAGTAAAACCAGTACAACGTGCTTAAAAGGATAGTCATTGCTATGGGCTGAATTGTGTGTCCCCCCAACTCAACTTCATGTGTTAATTTCCTGACCCCCAGTAACTCCGTATGTGATTGTATGTGGAGACAGGGTGTAAAAAGAAGTAACCAAATTTAAATGAGGTCAGCAGGTGGGCCCTAATCCAATATGACTGGTGTCCTTATAAAAACAGAGAAGTATGATACGCACAGAGAGACCATGCAAAGACAGCAGAACACAGCCACCCACAAACCAAAGGGCCTCAGAAGAACCCAATTCAGCTCACCCCCTTAGTCCTGGAATTGTAGTTGCCACTGCTGTGGGGAAATAAGCTCATGCTGTTCAAGCTCCCCAATCTGTGTGGTAATGTGTTATGGTGGCCCTAGGAAACTAATACCCACATAATAAAAAGTTTGCTCTCAGATCAGTCAAATGAAACTTGAATTCCATAACAGAAACATGCATCAAAATACCCAAATGTCTGGAAAATTTTAAGTGCCCTTCTAAAGGACATGTGGGCTGAAGAAATCCCAGAGGGGCGGGGGAAGGAGATGAATTTAAGTATTTTGAACTACATGAATGAAAACACAATTGATTTGAAATTTGTGGAATGCAGTGAAAGCAGTGCTTAAAAGGATATTTGTACCAGTGAATGCATACGTTAGGAGTGAAAAAAAAACAATAATATAATCTACCACCACATAAAATTAAAAAAGAAGGATATAAACCTAAGCAAGCAGAATAAAAGAAACAAAACTAGAGCAGAGATGAATGAAATTGAAAAAAAAAAAACCAATAGAGAAAGTCAAGAAAACAAAAGCTGGGGCATTGAAAAGATGAAGGAAAATTGATCAATCATTAGGCTAGTTAAGAAAAAGATATAAGACACAAGTTATGAATATCAAAAATTAAAGATGAGCCATCACTATTGATACCCATGGGCATCAACGGATAATAAAGGACTATTATGAACAACTTTATGGCCACAGATTTGATAACTTAGATGAAATGCACTAATTTATTGAAAGAGACAATTTATTAAAGCTCATATAAAAAAATAGATCATATGAATAGGACCATATGTTAGAGAAATGGAATCAGTAATTAATAACCTCTCCGAAGAGAAGGACCAGACCCAAACTGTTTCACTGGCAAATTCTACAAAACATTTAAAGAATAAATTATGCCAATTTTTTACAATCTCTTCTAGAAAACAGAAGCATAGGGAACACTTCTTAAACCATTCTCTGAAGACAATGTTAGTACCCAAAGAAGATAAAGACAAAAA